TTACCATACCTTGTCTATTTCTATCTACTATATCCATTAGTTTCCTAATAAACTTAATCGGGGCTAAATTTGGGGCATAAAGATTCACTATCGTATAAATCCTATTATTTATTTCGCAAATTAATATATGATATCTACCTTCTGGATCCTGTATTTGGTAAATAAATTTAAAGGCTAATCTAGAAGAAATGAGGGTCGCAACCCCTCTTTTTTTTTATCATATAAGGAGGAGGAAAAAATAAATGGATAATCTTTAGAATTTAAACGTATTTTTCCTCTTTGCTCCCAATGTGTTTCTTGCAACCCGCATATGGAAATGGATTCATCTTTCAAAAACCTAAGAAGGATATTGCGCTTTTGTGGTGAATTTAAACCTCTAAGGTTCAAAGTTACTATTTTTATCATTATTAATCCAGTTTAGAGTTGAACAATCTCCCTTGTGTCCAGCTATAGGGAGTAAACTCATCTTCCAAGACTCTAGAGAAAATATTAAAATTTTTTATTAGATCTACCCCCCTTAGTTCAGGCTTGCTATTTTTACCTAAATTAATCATATTTAGAATTGGGCAACTCATATAGAGCCAATCTCATGTAAAAGACCAAATATGACCAGACCATAACAAAACGACAGCACGTACATAAAACATTAAACCCCTGAAGGCTCCCTACCCCTCCTCTCATGGGAGCCATCCCAAAGCCCTTTACTGATCGTAACCTACCCAAGGTATAAATCAGTCAAACTCAACCGCGTTAGCGGTTGGAGGGAAGCAGAGGAGAATTATACCTAATTATCGACCCGAGAGCCTCATAAATAAAAGCTCTATATAAAAAAAAAAAGAAAGATGATAATAATAACTTAAAAAGAGGTATCACCCCCTTACCCAAAGACTAGAATTTATTACCTTCTTCCCTTACTATTTATCCATTACCATCCTAAGATGGCTTCACAACTTTAATCATCAGTGCATATCTCAGTGATTAATTTAGATTCAGTGCTGTATATAATACGTATGTTTAAAACAATCTGACCGACATAATCTACTCAATCATTTAGTCAGAGTGCAAATCTTATATATTCAAAAATTAGAAATCTAATATATAAAGTGCTTATCTATTACAGTCCTCAAGAGACTTCATATCTTTAATCAATCGTGCTTATCTTAGTGGTTAATTTGACTAGTGCTATATATATTATATATACTTAACACTGCTTCAAGCATCCCGTGAATTTTCTTTGTATCTCATATTAATTTGCTCTAATATTCTACAGAAATATTGTATCCTGTTTAGTCGTATATTAAAAAACTAGTGTGTAATATTATTTACACGCGTGTCATGTTGTGTTCCCCCGTGCAACATAATTTCATTATAATCTAGGATATACTATCTAACCTTATATTCTAATTTATATTTCTGCTTAATATCCCTATTTCACTTATATATATATGTCCCTAATTTTAAAGTTACCCTTGTAGTTTTACAATTATTGTGGTACTTAATATTCCCCTTGTTTGGTTAGACTATTTAGTGTTTCTCTTCACTATATAAAAAAAAATAAAAAAATAAAAAATTAAATAACCTCCGCTTCCCTCATCCGTTTTATCCCCAATAGCTTCATATCATCTTATTTGTTAATAACCATTGATGTAAACTATCAACCTCTTTAAAGGCTTCTAGATTGTCTTTATAATAAAACTTTAACCCCGTAGGGAATAGCCATGTGTAGCTTATGTTGTGATCTCTAAGCTTGCCTGTGCAAGTTAGAAATTTCTTCCTTGCAGTTCTAGTAGCCAGAGATAGGTCATTGAAGCATTTTAGCTCTTCAAATTTTGAGTCTTTTAAAGATTTCAGCCTTAAAGCTTGGTTGAATTTGGTCTTCAGGTAAAGAGAATGAAAACTTGCAATAACTTCTCTTGGGATATGAGCTGGTAGGCTTCTTGCTTTTGGCAGTCTATGAACATTCTCAAATATAATTGGAATATTTTGCAGATGCATATCTAGAAAGTTTAAAAGCTCAGTCAGATAAGCGTTTAACATTTGGTTGGATATACTTTCCGGGATTCCTCTAATCCTAATATTTCTCCTCCGTGACCTGTCTTCCCAATCAACCATCTTAGCTTCCAAGTTATTTATTTTCTGCTCCAAGGAATTAATTTTATCTTCCATAAGGTTATTTCTAAGCATTGAACATTCCAGTTTCTCTTCGATGGATGTCATTCTTATATTTACTTTCTTTATTTCTTCTTTAAAGGTCGTTGTAAAAAGTTGCATCTCACCTTTTATCTTTTCCATTTGTGAGTCAAAACAGTTATTAAGAGTGACTCTATCAATATTAAGGAGGTCACTTGGAGGGGAATTGCTGTATGAGTTTAGACCATTTGTCTCCATAAGGCTAGTATTCACCATATCTTCTTCTGAAGGTTTAGTAGAGCCCACTTGGCTTAGTCTCCTATCCTTCTCTTGAGCAGAGAAATAATTTGACAAGCGTTTATCAGATTTTAATTCCGCTTTAGACTCAAATTTAGAGTCGACTTTTTTATCTTTATCCTTCCTTGTGTTTATTTTATTTTCCCCCTTTTTTGCCGCCATGTTTTCTGATTTACTTGTGGGTAGAGACAGTAGATGCAGTTGTATACCTGCAATAGTGCAAAATATGTCCAATTATCTCAGCTATTCAAATATTCAAATTATTCTTAGGCTTCCGTATCTTTGTCGTTACTTAGGCATGCGAGATTTTAAGCAGCTTTAAAAAGCTTTAAGGATTTATTGTTTGCAAAGCTCTTATATTTTAATTAGCTTTAGTTAGCTTTAAATAACTTTAAATATGGCTTAAAGAGCTTTAAGAAGCTATTCCTGTTTCCCAGACTTCTCTGACTTCTCGGAGTATTTTACAGAGTATTTTACAGAGTTTTAACAAATCCAACTTTTATTTTATCACTCATATCACTGATTTCACACTTCTCACTTCGTCTGACTTTGTTTGTTCACACTTCAAACTTCCTAAAGCAGATTTCAATTAGATTTCAATTAGCCTGATCGTGTAGGCAAAAAAAAAAAAAAATGTCCATCTGAACTAATGTTAGGTCGGCTTTCAATATAGGATTCTACATTCTACATTCAATTGATAAATCCTATCATATTGCCATGTACCTCACATGCCTTACTGTACTTCTTGAATTCTGTATATAGAGCGGTAGAATTATCAAGCCTCTCTGTGTTTTCTCAGGTCGCTGCGCTGTTACCGCTGTCACCGTATTATAGCGTTGTAGCCTTTCAACATTCCTCTCCGTCTTCGTTTTACTCCCTTGCAGTCTTAATTCCGTTCGACCGCCTTACCACCAATCTCGCTTAATTCTCGCGTCCGTAGTGTAGTTAGCAGTATAATTCACCGCAATATGATTAACCTCTGCGGTCGCTCTTATCGTCTCACTCCAGCACCGGCTCAGGGAACGTCTCACGTCTCACTCAAACATCGAACACCGGCTCAGGGGTCGGCTCAAGGGTCGGCAGCATTACAGCATTACAGCGTCCATTACTGCTTCCTCCTCCTCTGCTCCTCTCACCCGCGCGACGTCACCACGTGCACGTCACGTCATCGCTCCGCCCCCCTCTTTACACTTACCCACTTTTTATAACTTTTTTACTTTTAAAAACTAGTTTTTAAACTTTTGTTTTGCTTATAAATTTTTTTTAAACTTTCCTAAACTTTCTTAAAACTTTTTTACAGATTTAACATTTTTCTAAGCTTTTTTTTTTACCGTTAACCCCTAACTAGCAGTACGCAGCAGTAACAGTAAATTCCCCATTTTCCCATAACTCCCACCCACCCCAGCTAGCAAAATATATAGTTATAAAATATTTAAATTAATTAATTAAATAAATTGAACCCCTGAGGGTTAAAAAAATAAATAAAAGTTAATCCTCAGGGGTTAAAAAAAATTAGATCACAGTATAATACTGTGATCTCTATTTGATCGCTGTAGGCAGTGATCGACTGGCAGGGAAGGGGTTAATTTTTATTTGGACTAGGTAAAGTGTGTTTTTTTTGTTTTGTTTTTTACTTAAATGTTATTAAAACATTTTTTTAAGCTTAATTTTTAACTTTTTAAAGTTTCTTTTAAAACTTTTTTTAACGTTAACCCCTAGTTAGCCTAACGCCAGATCCCCCAATTCCCCACTAACTTCCACCCACCCCAGCTATCTAAATATATAATTAAAAAATAATTTACTTAATTAATTTAATTAATTTAACCCCTGAGGGTTAAAAAAAAAAAAAGAATTAACCCTCAGGGGTTAAAAAAAAAAATCAGATCATAGTAAAATGTAATCCCTGCCAATTGATCACTGTAGTCAGTGATCAATTGGCAGGGAAGGGGTTAATTTTTTATTAAAATGGGTAAGGGGGGACTTTAAATAAACTTTATTTTTTTTTAACAGCAGGGGGCAGGATCATCACTGATCCGGCTCCCTGCACTTCACACAGAACCCGGAAGTGCAGGGAGCCGGTAGGTGAGTATACAGAGCACATGTGCTCGCTCAGACTTGTGGTCAGAGCGAGCACATGTGCTGGGCAGCTTGACCGGGTGCTCCCGGTATGCCTCCAATGCAGAGGCATACCGGGAGCACCATTAACCCCGCGATCGCCGCGATAGCGGCGATCCGGGGTTAATTTTACCGCGTGACGGACGAGGTCCGTCACCCGTCGTTAAGGGTCTCCCCTGTGTGACGGACCTCGTCCGTCACCCGTCCTGAAGGGGTTAATGTAACTGTGCAACAACGTTGCAATTAAATGTGCTATGTAAATGATAACAGTTACTCCGCTCACTCCAGTTGTAGACTACAGGTGGAGGCAAGAACACTTCACACAATTTCCCCAGAAATTGTAGCTTTTCTAGTTATTTATTTTTTTGATAATTCTTTATTTTCGTTTTTGTAGAACAAGTATACAATCTTACAGAAACAATAAATGGTTTGTTGGGAAAGAACAGTGGGGAATAGCTTCGAGTTGTCCAGGGGAAAGTCTTGCATTGGAGTCTCCGAGAGTGTGTATTACACCGCCTGTGGTGGACCGGTGTGTGGTGGTATCTCGTGCGGTCTCGGATTAGGCGGTGGTCTGATTTGTAGTCTGGTATGGCTAGGGGGAGAGGTATGACTGAAGAGTCAACTGAGCCAGAGATGTTAGCCCGAGTCTGTTGGGGGGTGGCTGGTTTGGGGGTTGCTGTCCGGGAAAGGTTTGTTGTGAGAGGCTTAATCAGCGGCGCCCCGTGGGTGTGTCATTTTCACTGTTCAAGGGGGCGATAGGGCGGATAAGGTGAGTGTGTGGGAGACTGGGGTGAGGGGTATTGTGGGAAAGAACAGGCAGGATGGTGCTGCCCTCCTGGGTACCCCCCCAACGCCCTTGGTGGGGTGGGGAAGGTTAAGGGCGGTAGGTGGGGTCGAGCCTCAGATTTGCATCGTGTTGTAGTTGTGCTTGGGTGGTGTTAGTCGGTAGGATTGCCGCAGGTCACCAAGGGAGGGTGTTGTTCCCCTCCAGCCATGGGTCCCACACTTTGTGGAATGAGTTGGGCGTGTCATGTATTTGTGCAGTCAGCTTGTCCATGTTTACGCTGTCAGTTATTTTAGTGTGTATCTGCAGTTGGGTTGGGATGCGCGGTGTGGACCATGTTTCCACTATTGCCCTTCGGGTGGCCAGGGCTATTCTGGCAATGAGTTTGTTTTCGTTATGAGTGAAGATGTCGATGGGTTTGGAGATGAGAAAGGCCCAAGGGTCTAAAGGTACTGGTTTGTTAAGTAATCTGGTTAAGAGTGTGGTCAGCGTTGTCCATATGGGGGCGACTTTGGGGCAGGTCCACCAGCAGTGGAGAAACGTGCCAGCCTCGCCGCACAGTTTCCAACATAAGTTGGTGGGAAGTTGTTGCATTGCCTTTAGGCGGAAGGGGGTAAGGTACCACCTGAAAAGCATTTTGTAGGCCTGTTCCTTATGGGTTACACAGGTGGAGATGGATTTGATGGCTGTCCAAATGTCTGCCCAGTCAGTGGGGGGCCCCAAGTCACTCTCCCATGCTGCGATGTATGGGAGTGCTATTTGGGTGTGATGTGTGGTTAGGGATGTGTAGAGGCTTGATATTTGGCTCTTTCTGGCCGGTGAGTTGATGGTGTCCCTCTCAAACCCTGTCAGGGCCGAGGTGGCTGCCAAGCGAACCGTGTCTGATGCTGCAAAACTACGGAGTTGGAGATATCGAAAGTAGTCATGGGTGGTTAAGGATTCCGGATTAGGAACCTCTGCGTATTGGAGGAGTTTACCATTGGGGTAAAGGTGTCCTAGTCTAACTATGTCTCTGTCTTCGAAGTGAGCGTAGTGCCTGGGAGTAAGTAATTGTAACCGCTGGTGGTTACCACTATAATGTCTTAAAGCATAGAACTTAGTAGGGCTAACCATACAGATATCTTAGCCATAATTTTATATAGTGTAAGAGATCCTCTATTTAACATATATAAATAATTGAGAATACAATATAAAATAAGGATTGTCTTGGAAGCAATCGTTTTGTCTTTTTGGATATTTATTATATAAAAATATAAAATCCATTATAGCAGAGTTTATAAGATTAAATTACATGCTTGCAAATATCATTAATAGGTTAACATACCCTTCTGAACATGTCATCATGTCAGCCTCTCTGTCATTTTAAGATGGAGCAGCGTCTGTCTCCAAGTCTCTCCTCTGTGTCTTAACATTTAAAAGTACACCTATTTATACCTTAGGTGTCTCCATTTTGGGGTTACCGTAGTTCATATATAAAAAAAAAAAAAAAATACCTTTTTTACTTTATTCATTTTAGGACCTCCCTTAACTTAGCAAACATACAAGGCCATAACTAAAGGGTGCATACGTCATGGAAATTTTCCTGACTTAGTTCAAGATGGCATCTTAAAGTCTGAATAGGTTATCTGTTGTTTATACTAAGTCGTAAGTGTACAGTCGTGGGAGATTCCCGGATTTGGGGAAGTTCCATTAACTTGGGGTTACCACAGTATATTGTGAACTGCAAGAGTCGTAGTATAGCCTTGAAGCTTGTTTATGCATTCTTGTTATTGTAATTCGTCTGGGACTTTATTGCTTAAAGAAACAGTTATGAAAAACAATATGTTCCATTTCTAACACCTTGTCAGTTTGCAATATCTCTTAAAGACAAAGTACACAGTTTAAGAAATACAACATTTCATTCTAAAACTTGTAATATTTGCATTTGCCCTTAACACCCTCTCCATTAAACTGTGGGCATTGTAGCGCATTTCTTCCTTAAATTAGTAAACCAAAGTTCTCCAACTGTCTTTAGGTTTTTTGTGCTGCCAGCATCTTTGATCATTGTTGTAACAGTAAATTATCCGTAGTGTGATCTTTGCCTGTAAAGGTGGTTGATTAAAATGAGCAAAGCTTTTGTCTGGGAAAGAATTGAAAAGAACACCAAGTTCCAGAGTAAGATATTCTTGGATAGATCCGGATACGAATTGTAATCCAAAGTAAAAAGTAGTAATTGTATTTGTAATCCAAAGTCTTTAAAGACCTGTAGAAGTTTACATTCCTTAGATACATTGCTGGAGGTTGTGTTTGTAGAATACCCGGGTATTTGTTGTGGAGTATAGGTTGTAGAGTCCAGCTTTCCAAATATTTGGCTAGAATTGGTTGAATCAGCATCATCTGTTATCACCGTGGTGATGGCGTTGGTATTTGTCTTTGTCTTTTTTATTTTGTTTTTTCCATGAAACATTTTTACACCGTTTATGATGTGTATAGATTGGATACTCTCCGATATTCTTTTACAGAATCAATTAATTGACATAATTTCCAAGACATTGTCTTAAGTGACATGGATCCCGTTATAGTAAATGTTATGTTGATACAGCAATCGAAGTGGATTCTCAAGAATGCCTCTTTTTGCCGTATTAGAATCTTTGTAACATCGCAGTGATAGACATCTCACTGACATCAGGTGCTGTTGTGCTAAAAATGTTAACAGGTAAAATCTGTGGAAAAATCTTTACATTTGTTATAGTTTGTATAATAATGATAGATGAAATAGTAACATAGTTAATCTTTCTAGTGTTTTGTTTTAAAGATAAACACTCTTGTATATGATTTAGATATAAAGAATAATTTGAAGCAGCAGCAAAGTATTTACCGCTCTTGTTCACAATGGTATGTAAAATTACATTCTCTTTAAATGTAAAAAAATACTCCTTTATTCAAAATCTCTCAATATATTTAGAATAGTTGCTAATTGGAAATATGACGTTAATTATCTTTCTTTGACCTGTTAGGGAGAAGACAACTTATTAGCTAGTTATTATTAGTAAATATAATAACTACAGTTATTAGTGGCTTAAAATACCAGAAACCCCCAAATATTGTCTTAGAAAACATTTTTTTTTTTTTACCAAGATCTGACAGCCATTGTGGAAAGTTACGTTTGTGAGATTCGATGCTTAACAATGAGAATCTTAATTGTTTAAGTATATTACCAGGGGCTGTTGGGTGTAGCTTAAGATGATTTGAATTTTTTATTATTTCTAAAAGTTCTAAAAGTTAAGAAAGCACTCAGATACAATATTGAAGGTATTTATATTTTAACTCTACCTTTGTATAAGTGGTTTTAATACGTTTAACCATCACAAACCAAATAACATTTTCTTGGTATTTGAAAAAAACTGATCAAATATTTGATTACGTGTATTTTAATATATATATATATATATACACATAGAGTGGTATGGATGTTGAATACACACACACACAGAGGCAGATGGCCATACACACACAGGAAGACATCCACACACAGGCAGACAGTCGCACATAGGCAGACTGTATATAAGATCGTATATTAATAAAAACAGTGATAATAAAATCAAATAAAGTTCATCCAGATTTGTGAAAAGTATAAATAAAAATTATAAAATAAAAACAGTCTCACTGGTATGCAGTACCACGATAGTAATCCTCAAGTATGGCTCCGTCCGTGTAGTAGGTGTGCATATATATGAAGATAAAAAACAAAAGAAAAAGCTGCCAATGGTGAAATATTGTATATCCTGATGTGGTATATATTCAAAGGAAATATATTTCACTCACATTTGGTGGAGCTTTTTGCCAGCTCTGGGAGAAGAGACACTTAGTGGTTTGATCCCCACTAACGGATATACTCGGATGGTCCGTCTGTCCGGCTTGGAATTCCTGTGGTATCGGCTAGGATCTACTTCAAATATGCGTTAATTCCTTAATGCTTGGAAGATAGGTCCGCCTTTCCAGTATCGGATAGTAGTTGTCCACGGAGTATATATGAAACAGCAAATAGTGCTCTCAGTATGAACAACAAACTGTTTTTATTAATATACGATCTTATATACTTTTAATTTTTTTTACCTAAGCGCAGCCCTTGACCCCCTCTTTTCTTGCATTTCTTACATAAGGGTTTCGTGAGGGATTTCCCTTTTAGGGTTGCTGCTTAATTGAATTAGCGTAGACTCTTCCTCCTTTTTTGTTTTACCATTTGTATAATTCCCTCTAGAGTCAGCAGCTTTTTCAATTTCTTTTTTCACCATGTCTATATTTGAATATAGCAATAATTATGTCATTGATGTTGAAAATGTATTTGACACAGAGGCAATTAGCCCAATCCAGATTAATTACCCCAGTTTTAATCAAGAGGAATTGTTTATTAAATTAGAAAGATCTCTTACTTCAGAAATCAAATTAAAATGGGAAATAGCCACTTTAAAAAAAATATACCGATGAAAGAATTACTCCCAGAGGTTTAAGATTACTCAAATTACCCACCTCCGACCAAGATTACCCTGAATTCATGGAGGAGTGGAATAATAAATTGGAACTATGCACCTTAGGCCTAATGGAGACTTTAATATTAAAAAAAAAACAAAAAATTATACATTCTAGATTCAGAGATTAATAATCTGAAAGAAAAACTATTACCCTTCACTGAAACACAAGCTTACAATCAAAACTGTATATTAATTCAAAGTAAGATTGAAAAAGTCGAGACAGATACAAAACACATTAAGATAAAAAAAATACATTAGGGATAAAACAGATTATTCCAACAAACAGGTATGCACTTATCATCTAAATAGAAGATATACTACACAAAACCACAATGATCATTATCAAACCAACAGGCATCATACAAGGACTGATACATTTCCTCAAACAAGAAGAATCACTACTAATACCCGCCAACAAGACCACCACCAAAATCACAATCAATATCATAACTACACAAACAAAAAATTCACACAGTCACCTTACAAATCCCAACGATTCCATAAGCCACAAACTGATTTTTACCCTGGACCTACAGTTGAACCTTCAGTTAGACCAAAATACCAGTCATCTCAAACTCTTACTCACTATAAACACAAATATACACACTCTCCACCAACTAAGAAATATACCACCAATTCATACAAGAGAAATTTTTCACCAAAACCTCAAAGGTCTAGATATATCAATGACAGAATTGAACATCCCAAATCACCCAGTATCCCTTATCACTCTAATAGATATCAACTACTGTCAATTGATTCCGAATTCGAAAATGAGGATCATTTTTTAGAAATTCGCACTCACCCAAGCACTTTAAATCAAACACCTCACCCGTCACGATCAAAAAAAAGAACCTTAAGTCTAGAGGAAGAAGAAGTGGTAGACGGGAACAAGAGAGAAAAATTAGAAAGACAATAAATCCCCCCACAAATTCAAATAGTGGGATTTTTAACCTTTCACAAAAAACTCTCACTATAGCTCAACTGTCGGTCTTAAATAAAGGTCTTAAATTTGCCCCCACCAATTCTTTTAAATCCTTCGAGGCTTTTATTGACATCAACAAGTTTGTCCGGAAAGCAACCTTAAAATGTTATTTTAATGAAAAAACAGAAGAAAATTCCATTTCCAATCCTACTGACAACAGTGCAATTTTATCTCTTTCTTCCTCCCCTAAAAAACATATTAACACGCATTTTAAAGAAAAATCCAAATTTTATCCAGCTTTTATGAAAACTGCCCCACTAACTGTTTTTGAGAAATTGGTCACACAGGATTTAAACAAGTTACAGACTAAAAAATACGATACACAAAATTTAACAAACAAAGAAAAAAAAGCACTTAAAGAGCTTCAAGATGACAATGATATTGTGATAAAACCTGCCGATAAAGGTGGTGGTTTAGTCATTTTATCTAGTGCCATGTATATAGAAGAAGCGCACAGACAACTTAATGACCCTGACGTTTATGAAAAACTCTCATCAGACCCTACAAAGACTATTCAAAACCTCTTTTTAACCTTTCTCAACAAAGGTGTATCTCAAGCTATTTTAACTAAACAAGAGTATAATTTTTTGAACACAAAATTCCCCAAAATTCCGGTAATATACTTCCTACCAAAAATACACAAAAAATGTTACTAATCCCCCAGGCAGACCAATAGTGTCAGGAATATGTTCACTTTTATGTAACCTATCCCAATACATAGACAATCTTCTACAACCTGCTGTTAAAAATATGAAATCTTATCTCCAAGACTCTATGTCCCTTTTAAACTTTTTAAAAGATTTTAAATGGGACCCCAATTTTATTCTGGTCACCTGTGACGTCCAATTACTCTATACCATTATAACTCACAAAGTTGGATGTGAAGCTATTAAAAATATCTTAATAAAGGAAGATAGAATTCTGGAGCAACAAATCAATTTCATCTTAGAGGGTATAAATATTATTTTAACAAATAATTATTTTTTGTTTTTAGATTCCTTTTACCTCCAAAGAAGAGGAACTGCTATGGGTACCAGGTTTGCCCCAAGCTATGCCAATCTGTTTATGGCAGATTGGGAATCTACAGCTATCTATAATGGAGAAAACTTAATGGCAAACCTGGTCTCATATTTTAGATATATTGATGATCTCTTTTTTATTTGTAATGGGTCGGAAGACAATCTTATCTCTTTTTTTAATGTTCTCAATACTAATAACAGGGGCATAATTTTAACCCATGAATTTAGTAGAGAACAAATAAACTTTTTAGATCTCAATATATTCATAAAAAATGGTAAAATAAACACAAAAACCTTTTTTAAAGAAGTCTGTGTCAATACAGTAATCAATAAAAATAGTTGCCACTACAAACCTTGGCTTGATAGTGCTCCGAGAAGCCAATTTCTTAGATTATGCAGAAATTGCACAGAATTGGAAAATTTTGAAGAACAAGCGAATGCCCTCAAAAACAGATTTATAGAGAAAAACTACCAAGAAAAAAATCTACTCGAAAATATTAATGAGATAAAAAATAAAAATAGAGATGAGCTTCTAAAGTATAAACCCAAAACCAAAAATGACTCAATATCTCTCCCTATCATTTTAAATTATACCAATAAAAGTAAAGAGATCAAAAAGATCATCCAAAAACACTGGCATATTTTAGAACATGATGAAAAACTTTCTAAAATTATACCAGAAAAAACGAGTATAATTTTTAGAGGGGCTCCTAACGTCATATCTATCTTAACTACCAACTTCACCAAAGAAATCAAACCCAGGAATTTTGTAACCTTCTTTCCCCAATCTTTAGGCTTTTACAAATGTAAAAATTGTATTGTGTGCAAATCAGCTGATCCTACAATGCCACCAAAAATAATAGAATTTACCTCAAACAAAACCAAAATTACTTTTAAAATCAAAGAATTTATTACATGCAACACCAAGAATGTTATCTACCTATTGGAATGCCCATGTGACTTCCAATACGTTGGGATGACTACAAGATGTTTAAAAGTCAGATTAGGTGAGCATTGTAGGAATATAAAAAATGGTTATTTAAATCACTCTCTATCCAAGCACTTTTTAATTCACAATAAAGATCCTAAAATGCTAAAATATATGGGAATAAAAAAAAATGTTCCCTACCCTGGAGAGGAGGAGATATAAAAAACATCTTAGGCAAAACTGAGATGGAATGGGTTTATAAGTTACAGACCCTAACACCAAATGGACTTAATGCAGAATTTGATTTGCACAATTTTTTATGATATTCTTATTTTCAACTTTTTATTTTATTTTATTCATTTTATGTAATCATATCACCATTTTAACTTTATGTTACCATTTTGATCTTATATTTCAATATTATTGTGTTATGCTTAGAAGATTATGTTTCTATTTATAATAATCTCTCATCATCATTCCTGCCATTGTTTTTATTTTAATCTTTATGCAAAAAAATGTGTGGGGCATTTTAACAAATACTTTTCCTTTTAAAAGTGTGTTTTTTATGTTTAAAATAGATTGAAAGTATGTATTCCTTAATAGGAGCGCCCAGCGCCCATAGAGCATTGTGTTTCTAGCCGGCCACTGGGCACTCCGTGTATACCAGGAAGTGTTCTGGTCTATTAGACGATTTGCGCATGCGCGCAGTGTTCCGATCACGTGATCGGAACAAAGTGTAATTTAATCCTTTTAAAAGCTTCGTTTTAAATAAATTTTTATACAGTGAGCACAGAGAGTCAGGACACAGGTCTTTTCAGGAAGTACAGGTTTTTATTTTAACCAACCGGGTCTCATCTGAACTCCTGTTCAAAAGATCTGAGCCCTGAGCACATGGAGTAGAGACTTTTTATAAGCTATGCATCCTCAATCAGCAAACAGGATACACAAGATTACCTTATATGGCAACATGGCCCTTGAGGAGAATGGAATGTGGTTTCAGTTCTTGCACATGCTCAGTACATTGATGACTGTATCTTAGCTACATGTAACTAACTAACACAACAGAAACCTTTACTTTTATATGCCACATGGAGATTTTAGGCCTACTAAATTTTGGGCCTAGCTGAAATGCCATCACAATACAATATAGTTGTATACTTTTAAAACATAAAAAAAAAAAAAAGACCCACACAAAATAGTGTAAAACCTTATTTAAAAAAAATGATTTTAAATAAGTGACAATGGAACACTGTGTCACAGTTTACCAGGAGAGCCCAGCTGCAGGAGATGGCACAAGAAGAAGGCAAAAACCAAAGCACAGTAAAGATGAAGGGGTAATCCAAAAGCAGAGTCAGACGAGAAGCAGAAGTCAGGGCTGGTAGCGGAATACCACAGTCAGTAAGGAAGGCAGAGATCAGAATCCAGGAAATCATTCAGCAGAGTAGCAAAGATCGGGCAGAAAAACCAAACAAAAACGACCAGATACCTGGCCTCAGACAGAGCTGGCTTTTATAGTGTGCTGATTAGGAGCAGCTGACCCTAATTGGTAAGGGGCTGCAGGTGGGTCAGCACTGCTCCATCCAAGCCAGGAGTCAGGAAGCAGACAAATACAGGTAGATACTGAAGACCCCTGGTGGACAGCAAGGTAGAGAACCTGACTTTGATGCAGGAGCTGTGAGTTCAAATCTCTTAAAGGGGACTTGTGGTCTGCAGGGTTTGGGGTCCATCATGATAGAGCCCCCCCACAAGGAGCAAACCCTGGGGGCAGACAGCTGCAGTAAACCAATAACAAAGGAAGCAAGTTTATTTTCAGGTATTTTCTTCAGTCAGATAATAAAGAGCAAATCAACATCGCCTTTTCTTCTTCTTTTTATCTCTGGTAAGTATCGCTGATTTGAATAAATCAAGATCTTCTTTTCTGATGATAGAGCCAATGTAAGTTCTTGTCAGATCAGGGGACAGTTCAGAATTGGTAGCGTTACAGTAAACACCTTTAGCTTTTTTCTGTAGGATTGGTTCATTTTACTTATTTATAAGACCAGCTTTGATAGTGAGAGGCTCTGAAGAGTTTGGTGCTTTAGAATCCCTGGACTGTTCATTGTAAAGGGGATCCAGTTTAGACTCAGACAGGGACTTCAGGTCTGTGTAGACATCTGAACCATCAGGATCCGAGAGTGTTGGAACATTTTGCAAGTTGTCCACATTCTTGGAAATGGCAGTGGAGGCAGAGAGGCAAGGAGCAGAAACCATCTGAAGGGATGCGGCTCTGGCCTTAAGAGCCCTTGCAAAAGCCTCTAGATCTTTTCTGCGGACCACGGTTCCAATGGAGGCAATTACACGGTCTGGGGACAGAGTCTCTGTGTTGGAGCAGGAAACCTTAGGGGAGACAGCCTCCTTTTGAGACTCCGGAACAGTAGTTGGGACCACTATGGTGCCATTGGTCTGGTTAGGTGGTCTTTTTGGTCTGGTAGCATGCAGAGTAAAACAATAAAGGTGCAATGGAGGACTTGTTGGATGGTGACACAGAGTATCCACATGGCCATGTTTAGGGTGAGTAGGACGTACAGGACAATAGCTGATGTAGTGGCCTCCCTTGCCACAACAGAAGCAAAGGCATTTGGCTCTCCTTCTGGCCTTTTCATTTACTGTGAGCATGGTATTTAGTGTTCCAATTTGCATGGATTTTTCTATGTCCATAGTGGGGATAGGGGTATAGGTCTCACCAGCAGGTTTGGAACATTGATTTCAAATCGCGCCTACTCTCTTTTTATGGGTGACCAGAAGGAACAGATCTTCCAAAGAAGTGAGTACCCCAACTCTGGCTAGTTCATCTTTTAATGCCTCAGATAGACCCAGTTGGTACTGTTCTATCAGGCCGATTTTGTTATAACCAGTGTCAGAAGCCAATTCCTGGAAATCCGTGGTGTAGTCCTCCACGGGTCTTCGTTCTTGCCAAAGGGAATGGGGGGCAGTGCGTGCAGCAGAGGGTCTCAGGGTGTCATTGTATAATGTACGCATTGCTGCAGTGAAGAAGTCCCATGAGTCCAGTATTGGACTGTTGGAGTGCAGGAGTTGGTGTGCCCTGGTTTGGGGCTTACCCGACAGCAGGGAAATAGTAGTGCAAACCTTCACATAATCATTGGGGTTTGTGGATGGTTTTAAAGTGAAGATCAATTTACAGGCTGTGATAAATGATCGCAGTTCAGTCTTTTTCCCAGTGAATTTGTCAGGTAATGCAATATCAGGTTCAGGAGCATGGTGTGTGTTCTCCTTTAACTCAGCATAACCACGTTACAATTCACTTACGGTTTGGGACAGGAAGGTCACTTGTTGTGTGAGTGTACTCAGGACATTCATCATCTCCGCGAGTTCCATGGTAGAGATCTGGTTATGTCACAGTTTACCAGGAGTTGGAGCCCAGTTGCAGGACATGGCACAAGGAGAAGGCAAAAACCAAAGCGCAGTACAGATGATACAAAGGCAGGGTCAGATGAGAAGCAGAAGTCAGGGCTGGTAGCGGAGTATCGTAGTCATTAAGGCAGGCAGATGTCAGAGTCCAGGTAATCAGTCAGCAGAGTAACAAAGATCCGGCAGGAAAAAACAAACAAAAACAACCAGATACCATGCCTCAGGCAGAGCTGGCTTTTATAGCATGCTGATAAGAAGCAGCTGACCCTAATTGGTAAGGGGCTGCAGGTGGGTCAGCACTCACCATCCAAGCTAGGAGTCAGGAAGCAGACAAATACATGTAGATACTGAAGCCCCCTGGTGAGTTCAAATCCAGCCAGGTCTCTCAAAGGGGCAGTCACACCTTGTGGTCTGCAGGGTTCAGCGTGCACCATGGCACACTGACACAATATTGAGCTAAACATCCTTGTTCTGGTGTGAACAGCAGTGGTGTCTGTGTAGGCAACCATACCCTTCTTGATCCATCAATTCTTCTTAGTTTTTCCTATAATATGGCTCAACAAATACATAGAGTAGTACTATATAGTTACAGATATACCTTTAGTAAGGTCGACTGAACACTCACAAGAATGGAGCCTAAAATGGCTCAATAGATGCACAGTGTATGGTTAAGGACCATACCACCTCTCTCTTTTGATAGCACAAACCAGATAAAAACTATTCTTAGAAATTATATTTTTTAATAATTTAAATGTAAAACAAAAAAGTAAAAGTAAATAATAATCAATACTGGCAATATTCAATTTGCTCTCTGGACTTTTGTAATTCTCCACTGGGAAATAAGCCACCTAATGTAAATATTGATGAAGAAGAACAGCTGTTACATCAAATTGTCTGGGTAACACCTTATTATTATAAAGTTGACCTACTCAGGCATAAAATGGTATAGAGGGACTAGTACTTCAGCAAGGGGAATCAGGTTTTCATGTCACATTTGGTACAATCATCAACTAGAAAGGATGCTTATCTGGATCTCATTCTAACAAACAATGTTGATCCTTTGACCAACATTCAAGTAGGGGAAAATTTGAGAAATATGGATTACAATATGGTAAATTGTGAAATAAACTCAAAAAAGCAAAAGCACGTGGGGTATACTAAAATGTATAATTTGTAAAAAGCCAATTTCAATAAGATTAAGGTAACTCTACAACATACCGACTGGCATAAACTCCTAAGTGAAAAAAACACTGAGGATAAATGGAAACTCTTCAAACAAATATGAAACCAATGTGACTTACTAGAGAAGTAAAACACTAGATTAAAATAAGAAAAGGGTATTTAAAGCATTTAAATTGGACAAATCAGAGGCATCTTAAATAAGATATAAGGAAGACAATAATGCTTGCAAAAAAGCAATTAAAGTGGCTAAACTAGAAAATGAGAAATTGATCGCCATAGAATGCAAAACAAACCCCAAAGTTTTCAAGTAAATCAATTCTAAAAAAACAAAAAATGAAAGTGTAGGTAAGTTGGGTCTGTTAGGTAATGAATACCAGGAAAAGGTAGAAATTTTAAATGGCAAGAGATATGCAAATGATTGCTGCAAAAACCTTGCAGGTAACTTGTGATTGGATGACTCGAGAAAAGGGGATACAGCAGTTAAAGAAAATTAATGTATGTAACGGAACGCCTGTCACCCCCGACTGGGTACCTTGCATTGACGGATGCTAATAGTGCTTCCCAAGGGCTCCGAGCACTCCACCAGACACCATAATCACCGCAGACCGCACGAACCACCGCAGCTTGGTTGGGGTCTCACCATCTTCCACCCACTCTGGACCCAAGACCAGGATCCAGCTTCCAGTAGGTAGACCTTTCTTAGAATCCAGAGGGCAGGAACAGGAACAGCTCTTTTTTTCTCATTTATCTTTTTTATTGATGCAAAACAAATGATCAGACATTTTGCAGCGCAGTGCATTTTTGACATGCCATTCCAATCACAGACGCATCTGTGGGTTCCCTGTTCCAAAGATTTGCCCCACATATTCCTTATGCAAGCCTGGAGTCTTTGTGTCAGCTTCCACGAGTGTATGATCTTGGTCTTTCCACACTGAGGAGCACTTATTTCGTGTGATGTGGCTCGTCCCTCGCTCGTGTTTCGTGTTATTTTGGTGTGAGTAGGAACCACTACTTGTGCTGCACATCTGTTAAGATATCTGCATTGCTTTTGTTGTATAACCTTTAGCTAGGGGGTGGGGGAGGGGTTACAGAAGGAAAAGGGAGGGGTAAGGGGGTGCCCTAGACAACACGTATTGCATTTTATTATGGTTTCTTGGATTTGACCCTATGTGTGACCTTGTTGCCCCTATTTGGCCTTTTAACTCTCAGCCGGCCAGCTGCTCCATTGTCTGTCATATCTCTCACTACAGCCGTTTACTCTTCTTGCCATTTTTTCATATTGACTAATCATGTCCATTCTATTAGTTATAGTAACTGCGGCTGGGGTTTGATTACTCTTCCAACTGCCGGCCAACATTATTTTCGCTACCGTGAGTATGTTAAGGATTACTTTTCTGTGTGGATGGGAGGCAATACCGGGTGCGATGTGAAGAATGTAGTGTTCTGGCTTCATGGGCAGTGTGAACCCTGTCCTACCTAGTATGAGGGAGTGAACCTTTTCCCAGTAGTCTATTAGAAGGGGGAAAGCCCAGAAGATATGAAGTATGGTTCCCTCGCTTGTGTTGCACCTCCAGCATTTCCCGGACGTGCCCGGGTACATGTGTGCTAGTCTTTGTGGTACCAGATACCACCGCATTAATACCTTGCAGTAGGCTTCCCAGATCGCAAGACTTTGCGATGCCCGTTTCGTGATTGTCAGTGCTGTCAGCCAGTCTGTCGTGGGGATCTGGAGTCCCAGTTCCCCTTCCCACTGTGTCATGTATGACAGCTTATCAGGGGCTGTCGCGGTGATCAGTGCTTTGTAGCATGCTGACAGTGGGTTTATGTGCCTGGTGGAGAGTACCTGTGTCATCGTTAAGTGGGGTGTGAAGGGGTGACTGGTGACATTACGGATGTGTGAGTGTACTATGTTTTTCACCCGGAGGTATAGGAAGATATCCCTCGCTGGCAATTGTAGATCCCTTTGCAGATCGGGGAATAGCTTAACCGTATCCCCTTCTAAAATGTCCCGGACCCTGTTTGCACCCCCCTCCCTCCATCGATTCATCTTCAGGTCAGGGGAGAGTATTTCTAATGTTGTCAGGGGTGCTGATTGGAAGAGCATTTTGGAGTCTACGATTTGTGGGCTCCAGTTATTCCAGGCCATCAATAAGAACTTTGAGCTCTACAGCTGTTTTCCTACCACCATCTGTGTCTGCTCCCCTGCCCATAGATAACTTGACAAATCGTGGGTATTTAGACAGGCACTCTCCGTAGCTAACGATATGGGACTTTGGAGGGTGTTTGTGGGGCGCAGGAGTCGAAGTCCCTGTGCCAGTGCAGATGCCTTGTAGTAATCCTTGATATCTGGCATGTTCAGTCCCCCACCTGTACTTGGGAGTCCTAGGGTACCCTTTGCCACTCTCAGGGGCTTCTGCTTCCACACGTGTGCGTTTATTGTGCTTTGAAAGAGTTTTAGTAGTTTGTTCGGTAGAGCGATGGGCAGGGTTCGGAACAGGTACAATATATGCGGCAGTGCCATCATTTTCACAAGATTGATACGGCCTAACCAGGACACATCAAGCCCCTCCCACTTCTCGAGTGTGACTTTAAGTTTTTGTATGACCGGGTAATGGTTTTCCCGTATAATGGTTTGGGTATTTTTCGTGAGCTTGGTCCCTAGGTATTGTAGAGAGGTTTTGCGCCAATCAAAGGAGTGTTGTGTTTTTAATGATATGACTGTAGCGCTTGGCAAATTAATGGGCAATGCTTGTGTCTTCATTGTGTTGTTTCTGTAGTAAGATACCTGCCTATATGTGTCGAGTCTGTGCAGAAGTTATGGTAGGGAGGATAGTGCCATCTTCTGTGTGCCCCCTGGTGTATGGAGTCCCTGTATCGCCGAGTCATGTTTAATGAGGCGAATCAAGGGATCTAGGCTCAGTATGAAAATGAGGGACGAAAGGGGGCAGCCCTGCCTTGTGCCATTTCTTATCTCTATTTGGTTGGATATGAAGCCTGTGCTGAACACTCTGGCCGTTGGGTGTCGGTATAGGGCAAGGATGCTTGCCAGGATTTTTGGGGTGAAACCCATTCTTGTTAGTGTCAGTGACATGTAGTCCCAATGGAGG